TTCAGTGCATACCCTGCTGCACAAACTGATCTCCTCTGACTTATTTTGACTTCATGTAACAGCAGAAGGCTGCAGGTCGAGCTGTGAGACATAGAGGGAGACTAATGTTGGACAACACTGACGTTTCTCTCATGATATATATAGTGTGCTCTTTTCCCAGAGCTCCGTGCGGCTGGTATTCTGTGAGAGAAACAGGATCCTCAGGACTGAAACAAGTCAATGTTCCCACAGCCAAACGCCACGTGTCCCTCAATCCACACTCTTCGTGGACTGGTCGACCCCACTTCAGCCGCTCAATGCTTGAGTGCTACAACACTGCAAAATTCTGCAAAAATCACAAGGTTGTATGCTGTCCTTGATATTTTTCAAACAGCTACATGTTATGTTTTCATTGTCATACTAATGTACTCTGAACTGAGCAAAGGCCAGGGTATGCTTGAAACAAACCACTTTTTCCCATATACTATGTGAAGCATACGGACCGCCTAAACGTACCCTGTGAAGATTTTCGACCACCAGTTGTGCTATGGAGCAGTGTTCATACAAGTTGGTCCCGGTTTTTGCATTAATACACGCAAGGATGCACATAAGTGAGCAGATGCTATTCAATTCTTGGTTTCATGCTATTCTACTGATCAACAGGTGGTGACTGTAGTACGCCAACAAATGTAGTAATGTACCAACAAAGGCAGTGAATAACAAGGCTGCAGAGAACCAAATATGGATATAAAGAATGCACAATCTAAGATCTTTTAAAAAATCGGCCTATAAATGTTTTTTTATGCGGAAGGAAGACCAAGGTCCCGTGAAAAGAAATAGCGTTTTGATGATTACTTATGTCACATAACTCACGTGATATAAGTAATCTTTTGGGATCTTTAATTTCTCTACAAATTATTCAAAGATTGTGCAGTGGATGTATAGATGTCATACATCAAAATTTAAACAAAACAGGCAACTGGCTTCTGCATTATCATATTGTTTATGTTTAAAATTTTAACTCAACTAGAAACTGTTTTTAATTTTACCCTTTCTTTGTGTTTTTCTGCACCAGACTCATATTTGCAACTCATTTGACTGAATCCCTGAAATCTCTGCAAAACGGATTCTGATTTTGTTTTTTAGGAATGAAGTTTTGACTTGATAGGACCCAGTTAACCTGAACAGCATCCACTTGTCCTACAATTTATAAAATGACTAACTGACTGGCATTTAATAACACACAGTAGTAAAGATAGTAGATGGTATATTAGATAGAATGTTATAAATTCACAAATGATGGATCATTTCAAGTGCTTCATTTGGGACCAAAGCTCGGCATGCAAATTCCAGTCTCTGCTACATGTGCATGAAATTCTTCCTGCCATCTTTTTGTGCCTCGGCTCCTTCTGTTTTACAACAAGTCCAGCAACTTCAAATCATAAAATAACGTTGCCGTTAAATAATTTGATGACAGCTGTATGGAAATGAGAACATTTTAAATGTAGAAAACATTTTTTAAATTATCAAATTAATTACTCCAGTCACAGCTCACCTGAACAACTGATTTCAACAACTCAGGTTTCATTACACACAGATCAAAAATGTAATATAACACTTTTGATTCCTGTGGGGAAACACTCTTTTCTGTTGGTGGCCCACCAGCACAGAGCTTCAGCAGTCCTGCTCAAAGACACTGAATGACAGTTACGACCCATGAACTACTCGCCAACTGTCTCCTCATATCATATGACTGTTAACTGTTTTGTGCAACATATTCTGATTCTCAGTGACTCCAACATATATGACTGGTGGAAAGTACCAGTCCAGGCGTACCGGTCACATGATGTTTGACACATGGTTAACGTGGGTTAAAATAACACAATTTTTCACACAGGACTCCAACCCCATTCTCCAAAAGTTCTGAATTGGTTTAACCATCCACTCACATACCTCCTTATGCAGACTTTTTCGCTCTTCATACTACATCACCTGGTTTTATTTGATCCCGTTATACTTTCTACGGCGTGCCTAACAATAACGTAAATATGGGTCGTAATAAGCTGCTTGAACAATCGACTTATACGGCCGTTTTTCTGTTGAGGACAGGTGGGTTTTGTGATGCATGTGTCTGGGTACTCTGTCGAGATGTGATGGGAATATGAGAACATTTAACTGTGGGAATACTCTGTTAATCCACACTTTTCAGCAACTTTCTCTCTAAAAACTTGAAACTTAGTTCAAACCCAGGAGGATGAAAGAGTATTTAAGGCCAAACTGCAAGCTTGTTTGATCTGTTTTTAAGGGCTAATCAAGAAGAGACTTGCTTTGATTCGTTCTCACACACGAGTGCTTTCATCGTAGCATGGCATACACCACCAAGCTCTCCCCACTGATGAATCAAACACCTTCAATAAAGCCTCAGAGCCAGGCCTTCTAATCCGACCTACAGCTGGTGAAGCTCAGGGTGCCAGGAGGTTTGCCTTAATGCGTGTCTTGTTTAATGATCTCTGCCCCACTACCCTCAAACTGTCAATCATCCTGAAGGGAAAAGAGTTTGCAGCAAGATGCTCTGCTGCAGAAAAGTAAAACTATTAAGACGTCAACATTTGCTGTAATTCAGTGTTTTTAGTGCTGACACTAAATATGCAATATATTTAGTTATCACAGTAACTGTTTGCATACTGTTTGTGAGTTGTTAGCTAGTCAACCAAAAAGTGATATCACAATTCATTTGAGGCCCAACGAGGTAAAAATGTCTAGTGTTTCACTAGATAATTGCAAATACTATTGGGTTTTCTTAATTGCTCCTATTTAAACCCCATTTATCATGACCAGATATGTTGGGAGCCACTGCTCTGTGGACGTAGAAAGATGTGACTATACCTGAAAGTATAGCTTCCTAAATATGCACATTTTGAGATGAGAATATAATATTCTGTTCAATACAGTTGTGCATTATCTGTCTGATATTAAAGGCTGGATCACATATGAGCAAACCACTGTATTGAACGCAGCTTACTGTTACCTGGATGTTGCTGTTTTTGTGATCAACTGTTTATTTGTATTTTAAAAAGCAAATAAAAAAATTCTGCTCTATCAATGCAAATCTCCCAAACCCCCACATCATCCAAAAATATTTCTCGAAAATAAGCACATTTTCAGTGGGACAAAGTACAAGTGTATCATTCAGGTACATGAAATTATACAGAGCCAATGAAACGGTCCCACTCAACTTCAACTCTCATGACCCTACAAATACCATTCACCCTAAACTTGCTTACCAATCTGTTGGTCGGCTCCCTTTTCGTTGGTTTACGGCAGATTACCAGCACCAGAAGGCCGTGGCTCTCCGTCCTGATATCGTACGCACTTAAACAGATTAACATGTCACTTCTAGTCACATGCCAAACCCCCAAGCCTTTTAAAGCTGCATCTGGAGCCTGCTGGGGTGTCCTTCTGTCAGCCCAAATATTTACTCACCGGCAGGAGGTTTGTAGGAACCTTGGAGGAATGCTTCAACACCTGTTGATTCATTTTGTGTTCAGTGTAGTCTATTAAATGGCAGGAAAATTTGAACATTTGACATCAAATCAAAATATTTGACTTATAATACAGAGACAAGCAGTAAAAGTTCATCTAAAAATCTGCTATCAGTCCTTTATGTAACTATAAATGCAACTAATCTTTCTTTATTCATAACCTGTGAGTAACCACAGACCTTAAAGCATGGTGATGATCTTTAAGAGGTAAGCTAATCCTTTTTGGTAACATCTCTTTCACTCTGCTGACCACCACATACCAAAACATCATCAAACTATGGACGCAGGCGCTGGACATCGTGTCTCAGCACATGGTAATAGCTTTAAAGCCAAAGTGTTAAATAATAACGTCTCTGTCTGAGTTACACAATTAAAAATGCTTCATCAGCCTTACAATTTAATGTTATCTCTCCCACTCCAAACTGTGTCCAAACTGAGACACGAATGCAGGCCTGGTAACTTGACCACTTCCCTCTCCTCCCCCCTCACCCATCTTCCCTGCTCTTAGATACTGTATGACACTGTTGCGGGTTCTCATGGACATGCTGCCCTTTGGAAATTCCCTGGCTGCAACCAATATGACCTGTCGTGCAACACCAGTGTCCACTCAAGACAGTATCACTGCACAGGAGCCGATGAATTATCACCACAGCTTTGATGTGGTGGGCAAATTGTCCACGGGGCGCGTTACCACCGCCAGGGAGATATCATGTTTTGCCCTCGTCAGCAAATTCAATTGAACAGCATTGGTAATTTACTGTAAGTCTGCAAAACAGTAAAAGTAGGACTTTGAGGTCAAATGCATTTTCTTCAGCGAAAATACACATAGCCATGTGCAAATAAAAGACAACTAAATGTCATAGTTTAGATTTTTTGTCTCCTGGCCAAAACCCAATTAATCCAGTTAGATTAAATCAAGATCAGCAGACCTTTCCTGTGACCCCGAGCCTCTGGTAGTCTCTCTTCTTTTAATCTCTATATCTGTCTAGTTAGCAACAACCTTGTAGAAAAGCTGCCACAACGCAGATTACATCCTGCTCACTGTGTTCTGTAAATCCACTCAATTTAGACATTTTGGTGCATCTGTACTTTAAGCTATTGTTCACAGCAAACTGCAACATTGGGCTGTGTCTTCAGAAATACAGACAAATATAATACAATGCAGAAAGGTTTTCAATGAAATGTATTGTTAATGAATAGCATGTCCAATATTTAACACATTTATAATGCCAGCCTAAACAGCAGTGATTTTTTAGAAATATATTGCACATATCACTTTGCATTTCCCAATCATTTCAGTATTTTTGGATTTCTACATTTACCAGACAGGTGATGAAATGCTGACGAACACACAGAGATGCAACCTTTTGCATTTGCAATATGAAGTAGATGAAGAATGTGTCTGTCAGGGTTAGAACATGTACGTACACACACACACACATATACACATCACCTGGCACACAACACTCAGCCTCTTACCTCTTGCAGTGAAGCTTTAGCCCACTGTGCTATCGTGCCTCTGCAGTGCCACTGGCTGTGCCTTCAGCCTGCCGGCTCAAATGAAGCGTTATCCTCAGCGTGAATGTTTGCCCTTCCCAACGGTGAGCGTCCCTTTTCTCTCCTCAGTCGCGTCCTCAGCTGGCCTCTTGTACAATCCAGGTGGTCTGATAGGTGGGAGAGAAAAAGAGGAGCGTCTCCTGACAGACTGAGGGAGCTGCTGTGTGTGTGTGTGTGTGTGTGTGTGTGTGTGTTTATGACGATGTCTGTGGCTGGTGACTGTGAAGACTGTATGTGTGTGTGTGTGAGAATGAGAGAGCAGAGGAAGAGAGACTCGACCTGCTATGCAGATATCAGCCCTGTTGCAGTTAAATTTAAACCACCCTGCCTTCTGACACCTTCAGCCACGGCTGCCCTCCCTCTCCAGCACGCACACACACACACTCAGATACAAGCACACACAGAGCTCTGACTGTACCATATGGCCCTTGACAGAAGACTGAGCCCTTGGGAGACCGTGATTGCCCCTGAGGAGATAGAGTGAAGGGGGTGGGGGGTGGCAGGGGCAATATTTAGACAGGAATTTAGATGAATGAATGTGAAAATGAAAATGGCACCAATATTGTAACGTTATGTATTCCTTTGACCTGTTAAGCGTGGACTTGCCCGGTACTGGAGAGGACGTTTGATTTTCACACAAAATGCAAAAGAGAAATCCATGTCTGATCCTAGTATTTTGTCACCCTATGCATGCCACACACCTCCGTGAAGCCAGGAATCTCAGCCAGAACGTCAAACCAACCATTTTTATCCATACCAAACACATCAAACACCAAACATCTAAATGAACATCACAACATAAATCACTCTGTAATCACTGTATGTGGCTGCATTTATTGCCATCCAGATATCTCCCATCTCATCCTACACCACCATCTGATATATATTCAGTTAATAATAATCTACAGGATGATGGTTTTGATGGCGATATTGCTATTAAAATAAATATTTTATACCAGGTGAGGATGAAAATATCACATTTTCCATTATTGCATCTCCATTTACTATTTGATAGCAAAATAAATATTTATATGATAATATTTTATGCATCTAGGCCAAATGAGTTATTCCTGATTTTGGGTATGTTATTATAGGCGTTTTTTTCCTGGAATTAGTTGTATGTTTCCAAGATTAAGGGAGCTTTGGACAAAATGTCATGTATGTAATGTAGTGTATCTGATGCATCATGATCGTCGAAGTGATACATCATGATCATGTTCTTGGTCGTTTTAAAAAAATTTAGCACACACTGAGTAATAACGTCAGAGTCATGAAGGACAGAATGCAGCAGAACTAGAGATATCATCCTTTTTATTCCATGCGTACTTCTTCCGTTTCAAAACCTGACGCCTACATTACCCACAATGTAACTGGACTGCCAACAGTTCTGTCAGAGATTTGGTTGTGTTATGCTAGTAGCGGCTAATGTAGCCTCGAGCCACTAGCCTCAAGCAGAGGAAAAGAGCAGGCTACAGAGGTCCGGTAAGCTCACTTCTTTCTCCACACCTCCAGATTTGTTTCAGTTTAAGACTTGGAGTCTTTTGCCCCAACTGACTCAAGTGACATCACTTGAGGCAATTCCTCAGATTGGGCACAGCTCCCTCTGGAGCCACATGAGGCTTTATACAACTTACATATGTACTAGTGCCCCCTAAGACATGTAAGTCACATATATGTGTAAAATTGGTGGAGTTCCCCTTTAACAAATCAAGTGATTTTTTCCCCCTCCACCTTGGAGTGGGGTGGGGCTGCACCAAAAATAGAGCCCCGACACTTTGAATGCCGACCGCTGTGCCGGTTTAAGAAACTGGGTTGCTTTCTGAGGCAGGAGGGTCACAGACTGTTGAGTCACAGGAGGAGCGTCTTTCTCTCTGCAGACGTCAGAGCCATAATAGAATTATGGGCATTGTTCAGCTTCAGATGGCATACAGAGCTAAAATAAACTGCTCTTAAATGAATTAGTTTTCTATTCAAAGTCTGCTTTTTCTGGTCAAGAAAAATATCAGACCCAGTAACCAAATAAGGATTGACCTGTGGATATGTGTGAATGTGTGTTTCTTTAGGTGTGTGTTGTGTGTGTGTGTGTGTGTGCGTGACCTGAATTGCATCAGGACTCAGCCAGCGTCAGGAGTCCTCCAGCTGTCAGTGGTTCCTCTCCTTGACACACTGCCGTTAATCTCCTGGGCCAACTCAGTTTTCTTTCACCTTCGTTAGCTGTGTATGTGAATGTTGACTGCTTTATAACTTTACACACTATAAACCCACCCCATATCAGTTTTGAAGTGGTGAATTGGTGAGAGTTGGAGAAGGTAAAATGAAGCTTGGGTTTTGTATCTTATTCTGCCACTGGATTTCTCAGGGGTCTTTAGACTTCAACCTACAGTAAAGTACTGGTCACTGCTACACACTACGGCCGCACCTAATGATTATTCATTATCATTTGTATACCACTTTGGACAAAAAGACTCAATTAATTATTTTGTCAATAAACTGTCAGACAATAGGAAAAATTTCCTGTTATAATTTCGCATCCCAGAGTGACATCTTCAAATATCTTGTTTTGTCCGACCAACAGTTCAACACTTAAAGAGATTCAGTTTGCTGTTATGTATGACAAAGAAAAGTAACAAATCCTCACATTTAAGAGGCTGTCACCAGCAAATATTTGAGATTTTTGCTTAAAAACTGACAGAAATAAAAATCTGATATTTGCAGATTCCATCCATCCATCATCAACCGCTTATCCTGTGTACAGGGTCGCAGGGGGCTGGAGCCAATCCCAGCTGCCAACGGGTGAAAGGCAGGGAACATCCTGAACAGGTCACAAATCCATTGTAGTGCCACACATAGACAACAACCACTCACACCTAAGGACAATTTAGGGTCACCAATCAACCTAGGCTGCATGTCTTTGGAGGAAGCTGGAGCACCAGGAGAGAACCCACACAGACGCAGGGAGAACTTGCAAACTCCACACAGAAAGGCCTGGGACGACCAGGGTTCAAACCCACGACCTTTTTGCTGTGAGGCCACATTGCTAAACACTGCACCACCGCGCCACCCAGTTGCGGATTCATGTTGACTAATTGTTGTAGCCCTCCTCCACACTGATCTCAGGTCGTCAGCTGTTTTCCCTCATGTAAAACATATTGGATTCAGTTGTCATGAGCATGCATCATTTCAGCTCTTTTAGCTCACGCAGAATAAAAACCAGTCTTATATTAATCTTGTTTATGGTCTTTTGCTCAGTCACTCTTTATTTTTCTCTTCTTCGCCTCCTCCGACATCATCTTCTTTGGGCCTCTTCACAGCCTGTGCCATGATATCCATTCTGAGAATACTGAGCTAGCTTCTTGCTAAGTACTTACACTGTACATTATATACTTTTTACTTCGTCTTATATGGCTTGCTTATTAAGAAGTGTCGTATTGGTGCCATTACGCTGTTGTTTGTGCACTGGATTCCAATGTTACATAGCCCCAATAACCAGCACCCCGATACAGAGTTGCGATGACAGAGACGCCATTCACCCTGTTACAAGTCAGTGTACGATCAAAATGATTTTGAAGTTGTTATTTTAAGATAGAAGTAATACATAATGTTCCTTTAAGGAGTTTCTTCATCAGATGAGAAAACGGCTGCAGGAAGAAGAATAAAAGAGGAAATGTTCTGTAAACCCTGAGAGTGCATGGATGGTATTTATAGTTGATCTTAACCTAGTAGAGCTGTGATTTTTATATCCCACTCAATGAATCAACGCAATAAGCAACAGTATTTCATAGCCTTAACTAATTACATTTCCTTGCACACAAACAGCAATTAAGGATAAACAAAGAGCACTAAGTGTTATCACAGATGGTACATGCATTATGAGCAGTCTAGTCTTAATGAGCAACCATATTAATGTTTTGTTAGTATTCTGCCTTATAGTGAGTGATTGAGTGTGATTGAATATATTCAAATGCATCTTTCGTATCTGGATATCAACAACGAGACTGATCTGAGATTACTGAGGGCACATTACTGGGAATTTGTGCAGATGCACAAAACACACATTGTTGTCAAGTCCAGACATTTTACAGTGTAAGTCCCAGAAGAAGTCTTCTCTTTATGGTAGACTTAGATGTGGATATGCCTACCTCCTGAAGTGTGTTCTTCAGTTGGCTGGGTGTTGTAAAGGGGTTTTCTTTACCATGGAAAGGAAACTACGATCATCCACCACTGTTCGTGGACGTCCAACCCTTTTGGTGTTGCCAATCTCACCAGTGCGTTTTTGTTTCTCAGAAAGTACCAAACTGTTGATTTGGCCACTCCTAATGTTCCTGCTATGTCTCTGAAGGATTTTATTTTTTTTGCAGCCTAATTTCTGCCTGTTTCACTTGCACTGACCTCATGCTGTGGGTTCACAAACACAGCTTCCAAATGTGAATGCTACACCTGGAATCAACTCCAGACCTTTTATCTGCTTAATTGATGAAGAAATAATGAAGGAATAGCCCACACTTGTCCATGAAACAGCTTTTGAGGATTGTGTCCAATTACTTTTGGTCCCTTGAAAAGGAGGGCGCTACATATTAAAGACCTGTAATTCCTAAACCCTTCCTCCAATGTGGATTGTAATTTTATTATGTTTTGGTAAACAGCCAAAATAACAAAACTTGTGTCCAAACATATATGGACCTGACTGTATGTACAAACAACAAAAGTAATTCAGAGTTAGAAAGCTAAATGGTACATTACCCTTGACCAATATATAATCTATGAATTTAGTGAAAAATTCCTCCAAAATGGATCCAGAGAGGACTAATAACATAGTTGAGATTTAAAGTTCATTCTTGACCTTGGAAACAGCAGTTGTCAAAACAGTCTCACCACAACGTTCGATCAGTAACGGTTCTGGAGCTTTTGATAATATTGAATAATATTGCTCATCCGATGAAAACAACTAGGAATCTGCTGAGGAAGTGCTGTGTGATAGAATTGAAAGTTCCAGCTGCAAAATGGACTCTGTGGTAAGGTTTTGTCTTATTCATATCTCTGTAATTAGCCTTTGTTTCCTGTTTGTGATCTGGAAAAATCGCAACAGCTGTTTAAAACGTCTTCTTCTAAACAATCCACCAAAAGTGGTTTTGGAATAAATGGGAAATGAGAAATAAGGCCATGCAGCTGCAGTGTCTCAATTTTTATCATCGTAGTTTTGAGAGCCAACAACTTACATCATCATCTCGTTACCTGCCTGGGGTCGGGACCCCAACAAGGAGTCCCAAGATAAATCTTTGGGGGTGGGAGATGTTTAACTGAGGAGGAAACAATTCTTCCTCTCATTGTTGCTATTTTCTAGT